CAAAATCCAAGTACTTCAATTTTTTTTTCCTCGAACACGTATCTCTTTGTTTTTAGTCCTCTATCTGTGCTAAAAATTTCAGTTTGATTGATTGTATCGTCTTCGAGAATCAGAAAGTGTCAAAAAAAGAAGGAGGGTGCATCCTTAAGAAAGAGTATGATAAAGAAATAAATGTGTGTCAAATTAAAATAGATCTTTCTGTGATTTGCAGCTTCATCGTGTTTTACAATTTAATATTACTAAGACTTAATTATCTTTGTATGAAATTTTTTTTTAGATACATTTAATACATGATACACAAACGGGTAAACCACGTGGTTATGCTTTTATTGAATATGAAAAAGAATCTGATATGCACGGTAGGTGGTTTAATAAAAAGCATGATTTTAAGTTTGATTTTAAATCGAGTTGGAAAAATTTAGTTCAGGATTATTATTACTAATTTTTTTTTTGATAGCATACTAAATAGAAATACGATATTTTTTAAAAACTTTTAAAAAACTGTTGTTTGTTTTTGTACAAATATTCAGGTGAGTGAGAATAATATATTTCCCCCATTTTCTTTTTTATCTATTCGAATGATTCGTACAGGTTTGTTGAGTTATTTCTTCTCATTCGTTAATACGCAGAGTTTAAATTCGTCCCATTTTTTTCGAGGCTATTGTTCGTTGCCTGTTTGTCTTCTAGACACGCAACAGCATCGATGCGTGTGAGACACCCAGTTGTTTTGCTGAAACCATTTGTGTACGTATAAATCTACATATAAAATATGGAAAAATCAGACAGGTATATATATATTTTTAAATGGAAAACTAATCAGCGCCAAGCGCATTTTTCCAGAGGAAGAAAAAAAAAAAAAAATTTTATTCGAGGTTTGTATATACATATATGTAAATATACATATAAATCGGGTAAGACAAGAAAAAGATGTAAAAAAAAAAGAAATTGGTAAGCTCAAAATACGTTTAATACAGTATCATCACCGGATCTAAACCCTTCCAAAAATAAAAATAAAAAGGTAATAACAATAAAAACAGGTGAGAATCAAATTCAGTTTTATCTTTTTTTTTTTATACATTTTATTTTTTTCTATAATCCCAACCCCATTTTTCTTTTATATAAACAAAATAACTGTGAGTAAATTGGGATTCTTTTTCATTCTTTGTTTTTGTACCTTAATCCTTTTTTTTCCTTGGAAAGTCAAAAAAAAAAAGAAAAATCAGTCTATATATAAGATAAGCAATGAGGGTAAGTCGATTGAGGTAAGATAATTAAAAAAAAAAACATGGTCAAATCGTCGATGATATTTTGTTGTGTTGACGGTAAGCACTTCACTTTCAGCGGCATACAAACGAGCTGATGGACGTAAAATTGATGGTCGACGTGTTGTTGTTGATGTTGAACGTGGTCGAACAGTTAAAGGATGGCGACCAAGACGTTTAGGTTTGTATTTTTATATTCGTTATAGATAATTATTTATTATTGAATATATATTTGTATAGGTGGTGGTCTAGGTTCAACACGTCGTGGTGGTCTACCAGGAGGTAAACGTACCGTAGGTGATGATCGTCGACGATCCGCCTCACGAGATCGAAAACGACGATCAAGATCTCGAGGTAAATTGAAAATATTGAAGTTTTACAAAAATTTACTAAGAAAAATTTTTTATTATAGATCGTCGTCGTAGCCGAAGTCGTGAACATAAACGTCGTATGTATTAAATTTAATATTGGAATTGAAATCTATTGATCAATCTTCTTTTTTTGTCAATATCTAGGTCGAACTCGTTCTCGTTCCAACGAACGTCGTAGTGATCGTCGTTCATCACGCGATCGTCAAGATTCATCGAGACGTCGATCACGTGATCGTGATCGTGGCCGTCGTACAAGTAACCTTCGAGGCGAGAATGACGTACATAACAACAATGGCAATGGACCATATGACACATTCGGAATCAATGATGGTTATTAAAAAAAAACAAAAAGTCTGTTCGTGAATATACCATGTCTGTGTGCGTGTGTGTGTATGAAACAATTTGTTTTTTTTTTTCGTGTATAAAGCAAAAAAAGATGATTATTGCTTTTTTTTTCTCGTAACGTCTATTATTTGTGTGTTCGTTTTTTTTTTTCTTATACATAAAGTCTCAGTCAACGAATTTGATTTTTCTTTAATTTGAATTAGAGAATGATGTACATATTATTATTGCAAGACATTAGCTAATAATAATATAAGAGAAATCATATGTAATTTTAACTATTTCGAATCGATTATGTCTATTAAATTTACATCTATATTCATAAATATTAAGAAAAAGAAGAGATATTTATATAATAACAAAAATGATGTTTACGTACAAATGTCAAATTATTTTACAGATTGAAATCATGCAATATCGAATAGTAATTACTCATACTATCAATTATATCTAATCGACATAAATGATTTCACTAGATATCACTTCAACTTATTATTGTTTCCTTGACATATTACACACATTTTGAGAACGATACGAATGACGATGTTATTTGAAAATAATAAACGAAGAGTATGAAATAAGTCTTGCATCTTTTTCTGATAGTTAAGTATTTTTCATTGTCTAGTGATATTTTCTATTTTGAAAATGATATCAAATAATAGATTAACAAAACTAGGATTAAGTTTTGTATTAATAGAAATCTGGACAAGAGCATTGCATGTCATACATCTTTAAAAATTAGAAATTCTGTTTCTGATTTTGATGTAAGAAAGATATGGAAATCAATATCAAGATTGTCTTCATTGATATTTTTTTAAAAATTGTCGCACTAAAAATCAAATTAAACATTAAATTTGATGAAGTTTTACTTCATCGATAAAATCTAATACTTAATTAGTTTTGAAAATGACAAATATTTATTAGAATTATAATATTAATTCAAGACATAACTCAGCATTTGAGATACAAGAGATGCACAATGGTCAAATTTTAGACAAAGAAACACTGCGTGGCCAATTTTCAATATCAGAAGGGGCTTCATATGACTCTTATAAGTGACATCCTTGATTTTAATATAAAGCAAATAAACTGAATACTTTTTTTTTTCTAATCAAATAAAATTGTCTTCAAAAAAAAAAAAGTTTCATATAAAAGATCATTTTCAAATCACTACTCTACATGTCACAAAAATATCTGTCTTCTAAAATTCAACTGACATTCAGTTGATACAAAACAAGATTTTATTCTATTTTTATGGTTTGTCTTCAATGATTTTATCGATAATCTATGAGTAATACGCAAAAAAATACAATTTATACCAAACAATTTTGACATATTATTTCATCAGACGTGTAACTGTATTCTATTGCAACACAGATAAAACTAACGCCTTGGCAACAAGTCAACTGTAAGCATGTATGTTATTTGGCACGTTATTTTTACCGCTATGAGCACGTGCGTTAACGTAGTTTTATAAAAAAAAGCACAGTCATAAAAATAACGAAACATGTGTTGACAATTACAATATGACAAGAGTAACAAATTTGTAAGGTAATATTTTTTTTTACTACTATAAGGAAAGTGGAGTAAAAATAAAATTAAGAAACATCGATTTGTTTTCTAATTTTATCTTGTACAAGGACAAGTTAATTGAGTTTTTTTTTGTTTATATATTCGCGTCATCATAACAAATTTGATATGTAATTTTGATGATACATCCCTTTTAGTTTTACACGTGTTATATCTCTCATATAAATCAAACCATTTTTGTTTATTTTTTTAATACTTTACAATCATAGATTAATTAACTTTTCCATGCTATAAACAATTCAAACTTGAAAAAAAAACAAGAAAGCTTACAACTAATAAAGAATATGACGCATTTACACATAATAAATTTATGCGTCATAGAAGACATTTATAAATGTTATACTAACCATAAAACCATTTGACTACCGCAAAAGTTTCAATAGAAGAATATATCAATAAAAATTGATCAAAATGAATTATTAATACGTAGCTTAAAGTTTATTTTTCATTTTAAGTATTCAGTTGTAAATCCTTGAATTTACAGACGTAAAGACAAAGTTATTTCGACATTGGACAGGATGCAATATGAGAATTATAAACTGAATTTCGTATTAAAATACAACGTACGACAGTATATTACTTAAGTGTTTATTAGATTTTGTAACCGATAATTAGAAAATAAATTATGTTTTTTTATTTTTATTTTGTAGAACATAAGAATTGGAATACAGTTTCATTAAGGAAAGAAGTAATTTTGTAATGTAAAACATCTAATTGAGTAGATAATTCTGTATATAGGCTTATTAAAAATTTTAATATCATGTCAAAAGTATTTCAGAAAATAATTAGAAGAGTCGTTTTGAAAATTAAACTAAAAAGCATTAATCTTATTGTATAATATCAATAGTTTTATTATTTTTACATTCATCTTGAACAGTTTAATTGTGATGATATTAATCCGAATAATTTTTCGAAATATGAAAACTATTCAATTAGACTTACAATTCTTGACTATATAGTAGTAAATGAAATATCTCTCGAAAACTTCTATTCAATGATTAACTTATAGGAAATACTCTTTCAACATTGTAATACTGGCGAATACTAATCATTATCTTTTATAAATCCGAGAAGAAAAGGCATATTTTGCAGCTCAATAAATGAGTGTGAAATTCCACAAATCTCTCGAATAATTATTATTGATTGTTAAATGGAAGAGAATACTTCATTCAACTTTTGTTGAAGACCCTACGTTTCTTTCTTAATAAACTTATGCTGTAATCTAACCCTTTCAATGATACTTTGGTAAACATCATCATCCAAAAAAAGAAAAAACTTCGTATTTGAAAAAGTTAATTTTTATTATTATTTGAAAATTTCACAAGAAACAAAACTGATAAACAATTAGAAATTTAGCAGACATATTTTTAATCTAAACCAAACTGTTCTTTCTTTTTTTTTTTGTTAATAAAAATGATTCAATTGATAATAATCATCAGGATGTTTTACTATGATCATTTGATGATCTATTATCTGATGCAGATTCATTTGTCGTACTCGATGAGGAATAATTGAAGGCTGTTGAAGAATTTAATTGCTGTGTATGAGTACTAAAAATATAAGTATTTGGAGTACGTGTAACATTTAATTCTGATACATTTGTGCTTAAATGATTATCATAATTACTATCTGTATTGTTATCATCTCGAATTTCTAGAAATACGATATTGAATGAGACAATATACAATAAAGGACACAATGAATAGTTCTAGTCTTACTTTTATAAGTACATGGATCACCACCATTTATACCTACACTCATATTTAATGTATACACATGCAATTTTTATTAGCTTGTTGTGCTATTACCAGTCGAGTTACACTTACAAAAAAAAAACCAGGACACACAATTGTTGTTGCTATTATGAATACAAGAGTATTTAAAATTAAAAGGAACAATTGAGTATTATCTTTTTTTTTATTTTTTTGAATAACAATAACAAATATGCTAGCCAAGCATCATCGTTATCATTCATAATGATAAACAAAAAAATGGGTCATTGTCTAGGTTGATATTTTCAATCTGTGATTAAATAGAATAGATTTTTTGATCTCTTAGAATATAATCACGTGCATAGTCACGTGAGATTTAACTTCAATCTTTGTGATACATGATATAAATGCTGAAGAGATTAAGATAACTGATGATGAAAAATTTCTCTATTGATTGTTTTGTTAGTATAACGTAACAACAAGTCGTCGTCGACATTTGATAATTTTCTTGTAAAAAAAAAAAAGAGTAAAGTGTTGACTACAAAGCTTTGCACAAATATTCGGTCTAAAATATTTACCGAAGATTGAACAGTTTTAAGAACACGTTTGACTAGAACAATGCCTTGCAATATCATACAAAATCAATAAAGTTTATTTGATCGATTCGTCTTGCACTTAGCTTTCGAAATTTTTAGGCATGCTATATGTGAATACAACCGACGCAATGTGAGTTTGCTAGTGGTATCAAAATTTTCAACTAGAGATGCAACAAATCCTTATTTTTTGTACAAAGATTGGAATTTTTCTGAATGAAAACCCATCAAATCTTCGTGTCAATTATAATCAGTTTTAATCACTTTTTCTGATACTGATATTTATTTACCAAATCTCTACCAAATCTTGCGTAGGATTTGGTGGGATTTGTTAAATATATCGCCATTTTCACCAAATCCTGCGAAACTTTACGCAAGATTTGGTAAATAAATATCAATATCAGAAAGAGCGATTAAAACTGATTATAATTGACACGAAGATTTGATGGGTTGTCATTCAGAAATATTCCAATCTTTATACAAAAAATAAGGATTTGTTGCATCCCTATTTTCAACTTATAGAAGCACAGATTTCATACAAAACAGTTTTATTAAAAACTTGATTTTTCATTGTACAACGTCAAAGGAAGTTTTCTTTTCAAAATGTATAACATTCTGTTTTATATAATATGCTTTCGTAGATAGCTCACTAAACTTGACGTTAAAATAATTTCGATTACTAGAAAAGACAGTATTTTTTGAAATCATTTTTTCATTGTGAAAATTTTTCGTTAGCGAAAGCTGTTAGAATAATGCCAATGTCGAACTCAATTGGTAGCTTGAAAACTTTTTTCTTATCTATTTACATTACCATAGTGTAGCACTACAAAATCCGATGAAAGACAGAATATAAGACCAATGTTCTTAGTGAATGGAGTTTTTTCGTTTCAATTCCAGAAGCGTGCAAAGAAATTTCTCAACCTTCCTTAAATATTTTGAATCAAATATTTGTACAAAGTATAGTTAAGGCGTTACTTCTTGTTGCTAACAAGAAAACTATCAAGTCTCTACAATGAATTGTTGTTATACCATAGTGAAAACAAAAATTAATGCAAAGTTTTTCCACCATCAGTTTAGAAGCCTGAGTAGACATAAAGGAATCTGTACTTATCGAATATATTTTTATACATATTTCTTTGACGGAGAATGTGGAACATAGAATGAAACTGAGAATAGTTACATCGAAATACCGACTCATTTTTTATTCCTTGTTGTCTATCTGATTATGGTACGATGCTTGCTCATGCACTCAGTCATACTTCTATTTATCTTGATAAACATTTGTATACATATATCTTTTGATCATATGTATCATGCAAATTGTTCTGTTGAAGCATTTCTATTGATAGAACAATTATCTCGTGTCACCATCTTGTATGCTTTAATACTTGTTTTTTTAGCAAAAAAAAAAAGAATAATGAAACAAACGCAAAAAAAAGGAAAGAACAAAAAAAAAAAGAAACACGACAAAAGACTTCAAGATTCTCATGTATGTGACGATGTGTGTTGTTCGCTTGTGCAATATATAAGGAACAGACATCAGTAGCAAAAAAAAACAAACGGGAAAAAGGAAACAGACAGATAGGCCAAACACATACACAGATGATTAACGTCATCAATGAAAAGTGAGAGACATAAACGAAGCAAAACAAGCTAGATTTATAGAAGCAATAGAAGAAAAGAAAAAAAATGAACATGAAACATACACGTCAAACGAATAGGATGAGGATCACAAAAGAAAAAAAAACCGATATTAAAGATAATATAATATAACATGGCAAGTTCTTTTCGGTTGCTGGAAGACAACTGAATAATAAAGCCGGTTATTTTATCTCTGTATGTATATATATTTTCTTTCACTCCATTCATAACGATGAAACCATTCCACAATGTTTAAGACGACTAAAGAGAGATCATGTACAACAACATGAGAAAAGAAAAAGAAAAAAAAAAGAGGATAACGAGACTTAGAGCAAGAGAGAGAAATCAGCAACCAGAAAAGAAAGAAAGAGATGAACATATTCGCATGCTAACTCGACAAATAGGTGGCAGTAGTAATAATAATAAAACAAAAAAACATGTGTATTTCATTTTTTGGTTTTTTGGATGGAGTAGCAATAAACAAAACAAACAAGAGAAAAAAAACAGAAACTTAAAAGACAATAAATCGATTTTTATATTGTTGCCGATGTCATTGTTGTTGTTGTTGTTTTTTTGTTGAATATTTCTCTCTACTGTTCTTTATTTAACACCGTTCGATTGTTGTTGTTGTTGTTGTTGTTGTTGCTGTTTAGGCATTCGTTGTGCTTTCGGTGCATCGTTATTACTACTACCATTAACTGTTTCAGATGTTGCTCCATCACCTGAATGAATTCCATTATTATTATTATTTGATGATGATTGTTGAGACTTTTTTGATGTCGATATTTGTTGTTGTTGCTGTGATTGGCCGCTACTGCCATAATTATCTTCATAATATTCATCTTGATTGATAGTATATCGATTTTGCCCACTTCGATGACCACGAGCACCACGACTAGAACCATATCGATTATTATAATTATTATGTTGAGATGAATATTGATCGTTATTCTGTTGTTGACCTTCTATAAAAGTAAAATACAATGAATAAAAAACTATCTGTTTTTCAAATAAAAATTTTAACCAACCATTTGTTTGTTCAGTGTCATATACAGTACTATCATTGTCATTATTTCGACGTCGATCGCCATAACCTAACAAATAAAAGAAATTTTTGTTTATTTATTTTTTGAAATTTCATTCATATACAAAATAAAAAATCATAGCGTCATTTTAATACACAGCAACCATGCATCTAGAACAAGAAATATGCTTATTATCTTTATACATGCGATTGATAATCTTGTTATGATTGTGCGCATTCATACAGTTAGTATGAAAATTATTCAACAATGTTAATTTTCAATTTTTATCGACTGTCGTAAGTGTCACAAAACATCCATGACAGAATAAAAATTATTATCAAGTTTCTAATAGTAGGAACTCCAGAAAACTAAATATAATTTCGTTTAAACTATATAGAACGATCAAACAAACAATTCTCTACAGAATGAAACGTTTCCGAATTCTGTATGATGTTTTTTAGCTGAAATATAGTAATCTTACGAAAGCTCCTGAAGTTGTTTTCTTGCAATTTGCTTATAGAACAACTATATTTTGACCTTCAATCAAATTAATATATGTCACCCAAAACAAAACATTGCAAAGAAATCGCCGATGTCTCATATTGTAGATGATGGTTTACTGTATCGTTCTGTATAGTCTAAACAAAATTATATTTACATGCTCTAGGTACTGAATAGCTAGGCTTTTAGTTTTTCTTTTTTTTTTGAGTTTTTATCCTCACGAATCTCATAATAATTTTTATTTCTTTTCGAATTCTTTCTAACAATTACTTCAGTGGAAATAAAAATTGAAATAAATCTTGCTAAATAATTTTGATACTAGTTGTGTATATATGCATATGCAATGGTATCAATCAAGCAAGAAAAAACAGGCATGAGTTGTAAGCACACCTTTATGAATAGGTAATGGTGGTCTACTACGTTTCCAACCGCGTCGTCCTCCTCGTCCACCAGCACCTCTCGGTAAATTATTCGGTTGTATCATACTATCAGTACTATAACCAGTCTCGTGTTGTTGTTCACTTTCGACCTGAGCTGCCCAGTCACGATGTTTTCGACTGGTACTAATTGTTGATGATGATACATCACCATACTCGCTCGCTTCATCTGTGAAGATAAATATTATTAATTTATATTCATATAACTCATCAACGAACGAATTCATATCGTAAAAAATAAAACAAAAACAATGATTCTCATTTGATATTAAACTTACCACCAGTACCAGCATCACTTTGTGTACCACCCCGATATGAATGAGGACCCAGACCACGACGTCCACGATTACCAGTACCAGTTGGATAATTATTCGGTCGACGTGATGATTGTTGAGTATTATTATTGCTGTCATTACGTTGTTGAGGATATTGTTGTTGATAGCCTGTATCACGATAATTTCGTGTATTACCAGAGTTGCTCATTCGATCCGATTCATAACTATAAGAAAAAAAAAAAATAATTTAATTTTTTCATAATGAATTCTTACCGTTGATGACGTCCACTTGGATAAGCCATATTATTATTAGTTGAATTCATTCCGGCATTTTGTTGTGGAGCAATTATAGTACGAAATTGTTCACTGACTTGAATTTTTTTTTCTTGTAATTCATCGAATTCCTTTTAAAAGAAAATAGAATTCTCCTTTGTTTTTTTTTTTTTGCTTTTTTGTTTCTTAATTTACTTTTAAACAAGCTATATGATAATCAAGTAAAACTTTGGCATTAGTAATACTTTCGACTGTACCAACAAATACAAACGGAACTTGACTCTATGATTAAACAAAAAAAAAA